AATTTGCAGGAAAATGGATGGATCTAGAAGAAACCATTCTGAGCGAGGATGATATGTGCTCACCGATATGTGGATTTTAGACATAGAGTAAGGATTACAGCCTACAATCCACACTGGGAAAGGGGAGAGGTTCAAGATCTGCTGAGAAAATTGGAAGCACGGGAAGAGGGGGGAGGGAGCTAGGAGAATGAGAAGGGAAGAAGAAGAGGGATGCCGAGGACATAAGGGAGCAGAAAGTATGAGCCAGGGGAAGAATACAAGATAACAAGAATGGAGATACAATAGAGGGAGACATTTTTTGTTTACAGAGAAACCAAGCACTAGGGAAATATCTAGAGATCTACAAAGATGACACCAGTTAACTATCTCAGCAACGGAGGAGAGGCTACCTTAAATGGCCTCTCCTGATTATGAGATTGATGACTGACTTATATGCCTTCATACAGCAGCTGTTGGAAGTAGAAGCAGACACCCATAACTAATCACCGATCTGAACTGGAACCCAGATGCAGAGAAGGACCAGTGTAGAGCACAGAGGTCCAGACCAGGCTGGTGAAACACGCAGAAACAGCTGAGGGACTGATCCAGACCCCAGGAACATGGGTTTCAGTGAGGAGACCTTGGAAATCTACAGGACTTCCTGTAGTTGTTCAGTACTTATCCCTAGCACAGGTGTGGACGTTGGGAGCCCATTCCACATAGAGGAATACTCCCTGAGCCAAGACACATGGGGGTAGGCCTAGGCCATATCCCAAAGGATATGATAGACTCTGATATCACCCTATGGAAGGCCTCACCATCCAGGGGAGCAGAAAAGATATCTGACAGATAAGGTTTTAGTTGGGGGGGGAGGTTAGGAGAGGACGGGAGGGCGAGGGAACTGGGATTGTCATGTAAAACAATCCTGTTTCTAATTCAAATAAAAAAAGTTTGGAAAAAAAGGGAAAAGGAATCTGCCATGTGGAGAAGGGGCACATATACAAACAAGAAAGCAAGAGAACAGGAAAGGCCAGGC